AATTAACATAAAATATAAAATAAAAATAAAGCGCCGCCCGCGTGCTGCTGCCATGCCCGTCACCGCCTCGTCACGCGCCGCCATTGTCGTCGTCATCGCCAGTGAGGTCGATGTCGTGCGCCCTCTTGCGGCCGAAGCTCCACCGCACAATGGCTGCGGCCGCCTGGCGACCTCGAGGAAGGGGAAGGGAGAGCTAGGGTTTGGGTGTCGGGTTTCGAGGAGGCAGCGGTGACTGGAGTGGGAGCGTGGACAGCGACCGGTCCACGACTTCCCATTTAAAAAGGACGCCTACCGTGCGCCTGGGCGAATGACATGTAGGGCCGACCACGCGTGCGCATTTATATTGGGCGGTGGGAGGTAGGTGGTCGCCTGCCAGGCGGCCTCGAAGCGGACGAGCGGCGCGTCCGTTTGCTGTCCGCCTGGACCCAAACCGGGCGCATGTTTGCGCTCGAAATGGGTCGGGCCGAACACAAAACGGACAAGATGGGTCCAGGCCGTTGCGCGCTGGGCCGCGGGGTCTGTCCGTTTTTTCCCAAACGGACGGGGCCGGACGGGGTGGGGTCGCGCGCTGGAATTGGCCTGATACACTGGTGTGGAGCAGATGATCCGCTGCAGTAACGGTGCACTCGAATGCGAATCTGGCATCCGACGCAAATCCGCCTTCCGACGATATGGTCTACTGTGCCAACTAGATTGGACAGAGCTCTCGTTGGTGACGTGGTGATGGTGTCCTCCGTCATTGGTGTTGATTACACCGGTCTGCAGTGGCAGCTTCGCCACGGATTGCGGTGACCACCGAAAGATCTTCGCGGGGATTCTTTTCTTTCCAGATCCGATGGTTACCTTCGGCAGTGAGATGTAATCTATGAACGATACTTGACGCAAGGTATAGGTGTGTAGTGGCGGCGGACACACATCGCATGTTGCTGTTAAGATAGAGGAAAAGTGGTGGAGATAACACATGAGTGACTTCGATGATGGTGCTTCTTGAACACCCGATCTCGAGTCCCGGGGTAAAAACCCAGGTTTGGCCGAGATGGTTATACCTGACAATGGCGAAATCACTACCTTGTTGAAGGCATTGTTCGGATATGCTCAGATTGGTTCTTTAGGGTGAAAACCTTGAACCTGGCTTTGGTGGTTCGGTCTGGTGACGAAGACGTGTGTACATCTCGCTCCCTTTCTAAAGGTGTTGTCGTTGAAGAACATCGTCGCCCGTATGGGTCATGAGATAGTTGGTGCAGATAAGGTCATTATTATAGTTCACAAAACAAAGATTTGACCGCCTTGGGTATTTTTTTTCCTTGCTTAGGCGTAGCTTTAGTCTTATATGACTTTGCTATTTGCCGGCTATTTTTTTTGTGTGTGCGTCAGTCAGGACCGGCCCTGAGGGGGGGGGCAGGGGGCGGCCGCCCCGGGCCCCCAAAATCAAGGGGCCCCTCCACAGGTATACAGGTAGGCTTTGGCCCAACATATTTTGGGTGATAAAAAAATTTATATGGGCTGGATGGCTGGGCCTCATGCGGCACAACAGAACGTAGAACACGCGAGCCAGCGATCGATTCTTCCTAGTTTGTACGTGCATGTCGAAAAATAAGGAAGTGTTTGATCCTTCAGATTTGTTTGTTCCAAGATTAGTACGTGCGCATCTAAAAAAAGAACTGATTGATCCCTTCCATCACGCATGCATTCACGCCGCGGTTCCCAATTTTGCAGCGGCCGCGAACGCGTAGTCTTCGCAACTGCACGCTCGGCGCTCCTTCTCCCTTTTCTCCTCAATCGAATTTTCCTTTGTAATTCAGATTGTCCGATGTCAATTCCCTGGGCCCTGTCGTCACAACCCCTCTTTTCTCTCCATCCATCAATGATTCGACCATCCGAGGTATATCCTATAGTCTTACTGCGTTTCCTAGTAAATCCTAGAAGGTGAGAGGGCTTTTCAAGTTATATATTCTTTTGGGATTGATATGGTGATTACTTCTTTGGAAGATAGATTTAAAGAACTCGTGACGTTTAAAGAAATATTCAGATTTTTATTGAGTTCGGGCACCCTGAGATCATTGAATGATATGGAACTTCAAGAGTGTTGCATCAAGTTTGCAGAAACTTTGTTTCTTGACGGTTCATGTGATGTTAAGTTATATGATCTTATTTAAGAATTGAAGATTATGAGATTCATTTTGTGAGATGATGCAACGTCTACTATGTAGATTTTTGACCAAGTGAGAGAAACTAATTATTACATATCACATCTTATTTACTGTGTAGGTGACTATCACATCGATCGAAAGAAGCTTTTCGAAATTGAAATTACTAAAGAATTATCTGAGGTCAACAATGACGCAGCAAAGTTTAAATGGTTTGACAACATTATGCAATGAGAAGAAATTATTAGATGATATTGACATCGACCACATCAGAAGTGACTTTGCATCAAGGAATATTAGAAGAAATGTTTAAGGTAATATGCATAAATTATTTGATATATGCATACTGATTTTAGAAGTGTTATTGGTAATATTTCATATATACTTATGTTCATTTTTATTGTTATGATGTCTATATTAAGGGCCCCAAATTTTAGTCTCGCCCTGGGCCCTCAAAATCTCAGGACCGGCCCTGACGTCAGTGTTGGGTGTGTGTGCATCCTAATTATGTAGAGGCCAGGTGTGTGCTTTTTGTATTTGTATCCTCTTGATGCTTTATATTGAGTAAATAAAATCCATCCATTGTCAAAAAAATGTGCAATGTTGCACATTACCTTTTGTATCTTGTTTTTGAGCCCTACGAGTATGGAATAGATCTTATAAAAGTTCGGGGAATAAGAACGCCGCATCCAGGCGGACATGTGCCCACGAATTACTCTTGCCGGTGTTTGTCGGCACGATATCCTTTCACTACTTAATTTTGATGCTGCCATTCCTCTATTCTTCTTTTCACGCCTAAGCAAGGGTTTAGGTTCTACCAATTCCAGTTAATTCCTTACTTTCCAAATATAAAAAGAATTGTCCCGAAAAAAAAAGAACATACTAGAGATTGCAGGCATAGTTTACACCAAGTGAGAAAACAAAAGTCAAGGGACATGGTCCCAGCCAGTGTTGTACAAGGTGCGAGTGTTCAGAGAGAGAAAAACTGCCAAAACTAACGGTGGAAGTTTCGGGTGTCATTTAAAAGTAAAAGCAAATTTGGCATGAAACTGCCAACATATATGGGAATCATACCAAATAGGTCCTAATAGGTAGACCATTTGGGTCACAATAGATCAGCATCTAGGAGTACAACAAAATCTGAGAACTTAAAACAACACACCGTTGCTGAAGAACAGAGCAGAACGGCTGGCATTGCAAACATGCCAAATAAAGGGCCCAAAGTTTGAAACAAGGGAGATATTTCAATAGGAACATTCTTTGATGTGCAGACAAGTCATCCACCACCACAGATGTGCAGAAGATCAATCAATTATCATCTTGATATTTGTTGCGCAAGGTCCTCAAACATGCAAAAGGAACTACCTAGCGACACTGAAGAACCAAAATCTGAAGTTCCATGTTTCAGTCTGAGGATACCAATATGGTTGCAAGATTTTTGTCCAAAAAAGTACAAGTATTAACCCAACATAACGTGTTGAAGCTAGGCTCCAGAGACAATCGACGTGGACTTCAGTCGGCCATCGGGAATGGCAAAAAGCATGATTGGTTTCGATGACCCGACAAATGGAACATCACACCTGTAATAGCCTTTCCTTTCGAGCTGTATAACTTCTCCTCGCTTGATGTTCCGCATGTTTGGGTCTCCAAGAGCTAAAGCTTCTCGTCGGGTGCATGGGTTAAGATTTTCAAGAAACTTCTCACCTCCGGGTTTATCATCTTCTCCCAGTTGAAGCTGCAAAAGTGCCACATATTAGTAGGACTAAAAGAACATGTAGATGTACCACTTAGGAATGAGGATTGACTGAGACAACATGGACACATTGATGGAAGAGACAAGTTCGCCAAGCAACGCATAGTTGAACGTTAACAGATTAATAAGAAACTAATGCAGCAAATAGGTAGTATAAGAAACGGTTCTGGTGCTCAAGTGACCGCAACCCTACCAACATGAACATAGAACATGATGCCTCACCTTTTTATTGATGATTAGGTAGTCAAAATCCACCAAAGAGAGAGACACAAGGTCTTCAGTATCTGATAGCCATGTTAGCTTCAGCTTTGTCATCTTCACTGACCCGTCAGGATGGAGCTCACCAACTAGTTGAGTAATTGTTCCATCATCTGTCTTGATTTCTTTAATGATAACACTTCCCCAGTCCATCAAAGTGACCTCCTCACCCACGCTAATGGCTGATGCATCAGCATACTCTAGCCAAATTCTGTTTGCGAACGTTATAGCCTTATTTCCAGCACCCTTGCATTTCTTGTGCCTAGGTAAAATTCTAATGAATGGTACCTCTGGGCCATTAGTGAGTATCAAGGGCACACTTTTGTCCTTCAGCACAGCAGTATGCCTTCCACAGACTGGATCAATTATCTTCTTGTTGATTGTCCAGAGTTTATCCCATTCCATGAGATTCAGATTCTTTGAAGCACCCTTCACAAATAGGAAATGCAAAAAAAGAAAGGAGAGTTTAATAACTTAAAACTCACACATAAATACGGAGTAATAGATAAGAAGAGTAACTCATTAGAAGATTACCTGCTCGAGTATAAACTGGATCAAGGCTTCAATCTTCAAGCCACGACGTAATATGCCTTGTACAGTGGGAAAGCGTGCGTCAGTCCAGTCCTCCACCTTCTTGTTTTGTACAAACCAGCGAAGCGTGCGCTTGCTAAGAACGGTATAAACCATATTCAGTCTGCTGAACTCATAGAGTTCAACCCTCCGCAGCCCCATGTCCTGAAGGATACGGTAGTACTGTGCGTTCCGATCATGATACTCACTTGAACGAAGAGCATGAGTCACTCCTTGCAATGCGTCAACAAATGGGCATGCAAAGTCATATGTTGGATAGACCTTGTATTTTGAGCCAACACGATGATGGGGATCAGGGTTGCAACGGTAGTAAACAGGATCTCGAAGTGATTTGTTGGGGTCCTGCATGTCAAGTTTACCACGCACACAGCACTGAGTACCCCTCTTGGTACCATTAACCATCTCACTCCACAACAACAAGTTCTCCTCAACAGTGCTGTTTCTACATTTAGATTCCACACCGTCCCTCCTTTCAGTATTCATGTTATCCTTGGGTGTATCATCAACATATGCCTTTCCCTGCTTAATCAAACATTCAGCCATCTCCATTAGCTTTGGGAAATAAACCGATGTGTATGTAACTGCATCGTATTGAACCCCAAGCGTCTCAATATCCTTCAGGACGTTCTCAACAAATTCACTGCTTTCTTTTGAAGGATTTGTGTCATCAAATCGAACTAAAAGACGTCCTTTATATCTATCTGCAAAATACTGGTTCAACAGTGCAGCCTTAGCATGCCCAATGTGGAGATACCCGCTAGGCTCTGGGGCAAAACGTACGCAAACCTCCCCAACTTTTGCACCTGGGAGATCTATCTCATGAACTGAGATATTTTCCAAGCCATGCATCTTTTGGTTCAGGCATGGTGCGGGAGATTTGCCAATTGCTTGCTTTCCAACATAAGCAGATGTAACTTCTTCTAGTGCATAGTCTACAGCCACGTTGTTGAACCAACGGACAAGGTTTTGGTACTTACTTGACCTCCTTAAACTTTCCCATCGTTGACCAGCTCCTGAAGAAAAGAGTTGTAACCTCCAGGGTAAGACAAAGGGAGGGAACATTATAAACTACAGATGGACGAAAGAAGCCAGAAATTACCTCTGAGGTTTGCCCACACTACAATATCAGCAACTGTCAGACCATGACCAACCAAAAATGTTCGAGATGCCAAGTATCCATCAAGAAATGAGCAAGCAGCATCGAATTCAGAGCCTGAAAGAATGAGTGGTGCGTACTCGAGCCATTCATCAACCTACATGGGCATAATAACAATGGCAACTTAGTATATGCCGAGATGATTCTTGAAAATCATTGACAGGCAGCATATGTGGAACAGAAACGTACACGTGCTGCCTGAATAGCGTCCTCGCCATAGAAGCTGGAAACAGATGTAGTACGGGCAATATAACGAAGAACTGTGTTGACGCCATGTATAAAGTCCCTGTACAGAATCATGATAGATTCATTGAGACACTACAAATTAACAAACATAAATACTGCCAAGGACAATGAGTAGTGGAAAAGCACGTTTCAGGAAAAAAAACTCTTTTTTGTTGACCCATAATGTTCTAATGGTCGTCATTTTCGTCAACATAATTTCTTACAATCACAAATATTATTACAGTGAAGAGATTAAAGAGAAGAGGTACTTCAAGCATAAATCATGATAACATCATCCATAGTTGACGTCAAAAGAAAGCAAATGAGTAATCAGAGGGGGGAAGTCAAAGCCTAAATATGTACACTGAAAGGTAACCACTTACCCAGAACCAAAGTGTAGTGTGGGCACTGAACCTGATGGGAGGCAGGGATCAGTGGTTATGGGAACACCTGCAATCTTAGCAGCAGAAATGATGGAAAGTGGTGGGTTGTCCTGGGGGAATACTAGTTTCGCGGCCATTGCCTCCATCAAGTCGCTTACAATAAAACAGAGCAGGAATCTGCAAATAGCAGAAAAACATTGTGAGCCAATGCATATGTTTCACTTCACATATTTATCTTTTCCTTTTCAAGAGCAGCAAATGTGCATCGACCCCATGAAATAATGTAGCAAATATGTTAACTCAGACTTACATATTTGAAAATTAGTCAAATCAAGCTACTTCAGAAGACCCACACATGGTAAAACAAGAAAATAACAGGTACAACAATTAAAATTTTCAACAATAATCTTCTTTAAGCAAAAATGCGAACTGTCGATAAATATGGCATGAGTAACAGCTGTTATTAACTGAGCAAAAATGTACTATAAAATGGCAATATCAATGACCATATACATCAATAATAGTAGCAAAATATCATTGTGGCAATATCTCTAAGAAAGACTACAAGCAGCAAAGGAAATTACAATATGACTTCACGATCCCTTTTTGGGAAGAGATTGATGACATCCTCATCTTTCACTTGCTTGAAGCTCTCTCAACGAATGTAACGAAGCAATTGTTCAAATATTCATCACCCTTTTTCTTTCTTAGTGGATTGTTCACATATTTCAATGAGGAAAATACCCTCTCAACACTAGCAGTGGGTACCGGAATCAAGTTCCAAAGCTGCCAAATCTACTTCGACATCTTCATCATCAAATACACAAAGTAGAAATCAGTGGCAGTGGCATGGACTGATGGACATTGGTCATTGGACAAACAATTTCGATGTACAACCAATTAGTGAAAATAATAAAGAGATGTAGTGGTCACTAGGTTCATTATGTCTATCTGGCAATCAGTGAATCACATAAGTGACAAATGAATCACATAATAAGTAGTTCAATTTCACTGGTTTACAAGCAATCAGTGATTATCTTCTACAGTACTACTTTCTAGTAGCAATCACAGGCAATGACATTGACAAAAAAAAATCTTCAAATATGTTTAAAAACAGAGGGGGGAAATACCTTCGACAGAGCCACGGAGGCTGGACTGCCGGAGGTGGAGACGTGCCGTGGAGGGCGCCTGCAGCCCTGCAGGGCGAGCCGAGCAGGGGAGCCGCGGAGGCCGGAGGGCAGAGGCGGACTGGCCCCTGGCCTTGGCGGCAGGGGGAGGCCTGACCGGACACAGAGTCACAGACTCGCGGAGGGGAGGGAAGGGGAGGGAGTGACGAGAGGGCCGGCCGTATGGGAGGGAGAGGGCCTGCCAGGGGTTGAGCGGGCAGGGAGGAGGCGGCGTTGGGGCTCGACGGGGCGGCGCGGCGGCGGGAGAGAGGAGTAGAGGGGCCGGCGGTGTCCGTGTAGCTGGCGACAGGGGTTTGCGAGGGCCGGCGGTGTCTGTTTATATATTGCCCAAGCCCAAAGCGGTTTCGTTTTTTTCGCTGATTTTCCTTTTCTTTCCAGTTCCGTTTTCCTTTTCTTTTCCTTTTTCTTTCGAGGATTCCAGTTTCGTTTTCAGTTTTAATTATTTTTTATTTTCATCTTTGTGCTTCCGTTTATATAAACTAGATGATGCCCCGCACGTTGTTTCGGGAATATTTTGCAATATTTCAATGAGGTTTTTGGTTACATGAAACACCAATATTTGAAATAATAGTTTTTGAAAGTACAAAAAAAATTGATGTAAATAGCACAATAGAATGGAATTTTACATGCATACATGGTTGCATGGTGAAGTAGACTTTTAATATGCATAGTTGCATGTTGAGGTGGTCCTTTTTCTATGCATGTTGAATGATGAGGGGGCTAGCTATTTAGATATAGAAGATAAATTCGATTAAAACATTTATAAATAATTCAAATTTGTAGTGACGCCGGTCGCCGACGCGGTGGACGACAAGAAGCCATCCATGGTGACGGACAAGCAGGGCGGGGATAAGGAGCCACGCCATGTCGATCCGGCAGTCGTGATCGTGGAATAGTTTCGATCCCCGGCGCCGCCAAAAGAGCCACGGCCGGACGCGCACCGCGATGATCGCCTCCTCATCAAGCTTCTGTCTGTGGCCGTAGCACCTGCTTTATCATCGCCTTCTCCGACAGCTGCACACCTTGCCTCATCCTCTCCTCCCTCTCACTTCCTCCATCCATCACGCTGCTGACTGCCACGGCGCCGCCGCCTCCACCACCATCATCTCCGCCAGATTATCTTTGGAGGCGTACAACTGCATACATTAGACATGGAGACTGGGGATTTGGAGTTGGGCTGGTCCAAAAGAAAGAGATGCGTTTGTTTCGGGAGGAAGGGATAAAGTGCAGGGTCATTTTCGTCCAAATGAGCATGCGGCTGCTAATACGCACTACATTTCGGAACTTCCCTAGAAAATTTATGCACACTATATATCGGAACAGAGGGAGTATAATATAAGTGTGCATCATAACTATGGAGAGGTTGGATGTGTACTTGTTATGATTGTATCCCTGATGTTTCATTATAAGTCAATAAAAAACACCCTTTGTCGAGAAAAAAAAGTAGTTTTAAATAGTGTCTACACCTTTAAAAAACGAAATAGATAAATCCCGAACATTTGATTTTTAAGCATGCTAATCCAAACTCTTTTCATGTCAACTTTAGTTAAGGCGATGTTGACAAACATGGTAATTTTTTGACAAAAAATCGAACTGGAACAAAGTCGCCATGTGTTAACAACTAAAGCTGCCACCTCGCAGTAACTAAAGTTGCCATCAAAAAACGTTCGGGATGACATGCTTAAATTCCGAATGTTCAGGCTTATTGAGGTCCTTAAAAAATGTTCACATATTTGTAAAAAGCCATGTACTTGAAATTTGTTCGCCTATACTAAAATAATAATGCTTGTGTTTTCCAAATAATGTTCATGTAGTTCTAAATTCCCCTAAAATAGTATTTTTAAATAGTGTCCACACCTTTAAAAAATGTTCACGTATTTTTAAAAATCCATGCACTTAAAATGTATTCGCCTATTACAAAATGTTGGTGTAATTACAAATAGTGTTCACATCTTTAGAAAAAAATTGTTCGACTAGTTTCAAATTGTGTTTGCACCTTATAATTTTTTTAACACGTTTCAAAACAGTGTGATATGTTCAAAAGTGTTCACACATTTTTTGGAAAGAATGTTCACGCAATTATAAAAGTGCCCGTCCATTTAAAAATAGTCATGTACTATGAAAAGGTTTTCTAGAAAGAAACGATCGTGCGTTTTAAAAAGGTGTTCATTTATTTAAAAAGGTTATCATGTAATTTAAAGTTGGTTCATGCATTGCAATTTTAGTGTTCACGTATACTAACATATGAAGCGTTTTTAATATCCTATACATTTTCAATACATTAGAGCATATTCAGCAGGCGACTCAAAAATTCCCCCAAGCGTCCAGGTGAACGGCCTGATCACTGACTTGTCAACACATATCTAACCCTAGACGGGCACCTCAAACCAGCCTCAAACATCCTGGTTGACTGGCATCCCTTATATCTAGCCTAAATTTGGGCGGATATGAGAAGCCCGGAGGCATCCGCCACATCGGATCCGGCCCACTCCACTCCATTCCTTTCCTTTTAGCCCCCAAGCTCACTTTCGGGGGGCTTCAGCATGACGAAGAACGGATTTGACTCCAACCACTCCGGATCCGTCGACTTGGATGGTCGTCCATGACGAAGAAAGATTTGACTCCAACCACTCAGGATCCGTCGACTCGGATGGTCGTCCGCGTTGCCCTTCATCGCTCCGGGAAGACTGCGCCCGACCGATGACCTCATGCTCGGTTTGAAATAACATTTCAATTCAGACAACAGAAACTACGAAGTATAATAATTCATTATGAATATACAATTTTTTGATAATAATTGTTTTGTAAACGAAATCCTATATACTTAAGAAGTTCATCCCCACTACTTGATTTATTTCAACATGCAGCATAGACACCTCAGCATTCATTCACATCAAGCCACGTCACACACCTCATGCAGTCCACCTCTTTTTTTGAGGGAATGCAGCCCATCTCCTAACATAACTAGCAAAAATTATAATGTGAAGGGAGGAGATTCCACGGGTTCTCTTGTGCTTTCAGTCAAAAAATCGATCGTACCATATCCATGACATGCAACGACGGCCCAAAAATAGCATAGAATTCCCCGCTAGGCTCCCCGCTCCTCGCCCTAGCCCTCGCCGTCGGTGGCCACTCCGGCCTCGACGTCCACCCTCTCCCCGGCCCTCCCGGCCCCGCGCCCGCCTCTGATGGCTTCCCCTCCCCCCGTCGGCCGGTCTCGCGAGCTCCGCTGGCTGGAGGCCAGCCCTCCGTCCGCCTTCCCGTCGCCCCGGTTGTCCTACCGCCAGGTGTTGGGTGCCGGTGCTCTGGCGTCCCTCGAGCGCACCCCGGTGGCCGCTGACGCCCTGACCCCCTCCCCGCCGTCTGCCTCCTGCCCTCGGCCCCGCTCTGAGGTGGGCCTGGTATCTCTCCCGCCCAGCGACGCCTCCGCGGACGAGGCTGCCGGCTGGCAGGTCGCGGGCGGAAGCCGCCGTCCGCGCCGTCCATCGCGGCGTGCACGTCGGCCGGCTCGCGGTCCCAGGCCGCCGCCTTCTCCGCCCTCGGATGTGTGTCCCCGCCGCCTGAGCCCCGGGCATGTGCGCGCGGAGTGCCGGCGGGATGTGCGGTGCAAGCGCTTCCGCTTCTTCGGGCACATTGTGCGCTTCTGCGAGGCCCCCCGCCCCTCTCCCCCGCCTGGCGCACCGGCGGCCAAGCGCATCCGGGCTGCCTCCCCTCGCTCCCCCGGCAGGTCTGGGTCCCCGGGGACCACGGTCTCGACG